TTGTAATCAAATAACATGACCAGTTTTTCACATTCAAATCCTTGAGTACATCAATAGCACCAAAAGATTTGTTCCATTATCCTAAATGCTTTTGGAATTTTTTATGTATTTTAATGAAAAGACCCTAAGGTGTCCTCAGATTTTGGTGTCAGTTCATTACACAAAGTATATTTTTCCAATGTTTGCTTTAAATTTATTTATTTATTTATTGACAGGTGGATTCAGTTCCAGTTAATGGCTTTGAGGAGCAAGCATTTTCTCCGTATTGTTATGACGTTTATGATGATTTTGGTGATCCAAACATATTTCCTAAGGTGGGTGAGCAGTACCAGGCTGAAATTCCACCTTTAATGTCAGAATCTGACTGTTCTTGGTTTCAAAAGAAGCCACATGATGCAGAAAGAACATGTACCTTCAATGAGTCTCAATTAGGATTACCAATTCGTATAATTTGGATGAAGGATGAAGTAGAGGACAATAAGCATGGTCCACTGAAACATGTATGCGAGTCAATTGGATTTACCAAAAAAAGTGAATTTTCAAAAATAGAATGCATCCTGAATAGTCCTGGCCATGATAAATTAAATACAGAACCCGAGGACATTGACATTACATTGGTCAATGGAACAAAATTAGGGGCATCTGGAAATTGCAGTGTGCAACAAGAAACAAAGATTGGGGTGCATGAGAATAAATGCAAAGGCCACTGTCTGGTTCCTGGGTCTTCAACTGACACCTGGAATGAAATAAAAGAAGCCAGTTTCACCCTTGGCTTGTATATATTTGGGAAGAATCTTGTTAAAGTGAAAAGATTTATTGGCAATAAGACAATGGGGGATATAATGGCATTCTACTATGGGAAATTTTATAAGAAAATGCATTAATGGGCAAAAAAATTTCACAGGACCAAGGCAACAAGAGCTTTTATCTCTTCTACTACCCAATGTACTAGAGGAATGCCGCAGTAAATTACTTGAGGTATTTACATAAACTCTTCCTAAGTTTATGCCCTTTTAATTCCATCATTTCATGACATTATTCTTGTCTCAATCATAAAATAGTAGGTAGACACACGAATCTCCTGAGTTTGGATCAATGTCTTCATGGATCATGGCCACTTGCTTCTTGCACAATCTAGAATGTAATTGACCAATATTTTGCCAATACATGTTTGATATATTGAATCAATAGTGAAATAACATTCACATATGAATTTGTTGATGCTGATGAGTAAATGTTGTGCCAAGTGGTTACCAAATGGAAAGCTTGTAATACATTTTTCATTGCCTACAATTTGTGTGAGATCAACAGGCATTGTCAATCTAATTGAACTTTTCAATGTGTCACTGTTTTATCTTAAACTTGAAAAGTTGCTACTTCATTATATATCTTATTCATACGTTACTGCCTATTCACTGAGGAATGTGTTTTAGCTAATATTAAATTGAATTGCCTGGTAGGAGTCCAAGACATTTGTGGTAGGAAAAATGCTTCTAGAAGATTATGTTTTAACTTTAAAGGCTTCTGTTGGGCTCAATACTCTTGTTGAGGCAGTTGGAGTTGGTACAAAAAAAGATCTTACTTGTCTCACTGCAGATTCTGTGAAGTCCACTCAGGCACTTCCTGTTCGTCCAGAAAAACCAGTTGGCAAAGATTGCTCAAGGCTTACACCTGCAGAAATAATAAACATTATAACAAGCAATTTCAGATTAAGTAAAGCTCGATCAGGTGATCTCTTCAGGGAAGCTGTTTGGCCTCGTTTACTTGCTAGAGGTTGGCACTCTGAGAAGCTGGGAAGTGATGATAATTATGCTGTTGCTTATAACCATCCTCTTATTTTCTTAGTCCCTCGAGTTAACAAGTTTTCAAGGGAACTAGAGAAGGGGGATGACTATTTTGATTCCATTTGTGATGTCCTGGGTAAAGTTGCTTCAGATCCTGAGCTAATTGAGCTTGAGACAAATGCAGATGATGATTGCACAACCAAGGAAGGAAAATGATGTACTAATGAAACAAAACTAGACCAGGAAAACTCCCCTGATTCGCAACACCATTGCTATCGCATGCCGCCAACTCCAATTTGCAATACAGAAGTAAAGAACACAACTCTGAGTAGAACTGATATAACTGAGAAGGATTCTACTTCTGAAGATGATTCTAACAATGAGGATGCTTCAGAGGAGCAAACAAAAGGACCTGACTTTTTGGATTCCGTGTGCTTGGATAAGGGTAAGACTGATGCTTCTGATGCCAGTAAATTTATTATCATTGCTAAGGAAGTCCCTTCTGGCATTAATGGTATAGAAAATAATCCTTCAGAAGAAGTGGTTCCAATAAGAAGCATTGGTTCTACTAATCCATCTGCGGCCTCCAAGGACCAGAAGACAGACTTGTTGAGTAACACACAGGGAATAGATGCTATAGAGTGCCAATCAATCAAGAGAGAGGTACCCGATAGCAACAATATTGAAGATCCTCCTGTAACAAAAAAAATGGAGATTAAGTGCATGTAGCCGTGAAGAGAGAAATGTCAATAGTTCTAGCATCTTTATGGTTCCAGGAGTAGAACAAGATTTGGCCAGTTTCTATGCTGACAATTCAAAACCTATTGAGAATGTAATTGCAAACATCTTTGTGTCTCCCAGAATAAACCAAGAGAATGCCATTTACTGCCTTTGAATTCAAAGTTCAGTGAAAATGTCTTTCTCACTGAAAATGAATTGTCAGCATAGAAACTGGCCAAATCTTGTTCTACTCCTGGAACCATAAAGATGCTAGAACTATTGACATTTCTCTCTTCACGGCTACAAGCACTTAATCTCCATTTTTTGTAACAGGAGGATCTTCAATATTGTTGCTATCGGGTACCTTTCTCTTGATTGATTGGCACTCCATAGCATCTATTTCCTGTGTGTTACTCAACAAGTCTGTCTTCTGGTCCTTGGAGACCACAGATGGATTAGTAGAACCAATGCTTCTTATTGGAACCACTTCTTCTAAATGTTTATTTTCTATACCATTAATGCGAGAAGGGACTTTCTTAGCAATGATGATAAATTTACTGGCATCAGAAGCATCAGTCTTACCCTTATCCAAGCACACAGAATCCAAAAAGTCAGATCCTTTTGTTTGCTCCTCTGAAGCATCCTCATTGTTACAATCATCTTCAGAAGTAGAATCCTTCTCAGTTATCTCAGTTCTACTCAAAGTTGTGTTATTTACTTCTGTACTGCAAATTGGAGTTGGCGGCATGGGATAGCAATGGTGTTGCGAATCAGGGGAGTTTTCCTGGTCCAGTTTTGTTTCCTTAGTACATCCATTTCCTTCCTTGGTTATGCAATCATCATCTGCATTTGTTTCAAGCTCAATTAGCTCAGGATATGAAGCAACTTTACCCAGGACATCACAAATGGAATCAAAATAGTCATCCCCCTTCTCTAGTTCCCTTGAAAACTTGTAACTCGAGGGACTAAGAAAATAAGAGGATGCTTATAAGCAACAACATAATTATCATCACTTCCCAGCTTCTCAGAGTGCCAACCTCTAGCAAGTAAATGAGGCCAAACAGCTTCCCAGAAGAGATCACCTGATCGAGCTTTACTTAATCTGAAATTTCCTGTTAGAATGTTTATTATTTCTACAGGTGTAAGCCTTGAGCAATCTTTGCCAACTGGTTTTTCTAGACGAACATGAAGTGCCTGAGTGGACTTCACAGAATCTGCAGTGAGACCTGTAAGATCTTTTTTTGTACCAACTCCAACTGCCTCAACAAGAGGATTGAGCCCAACTGAAGCCTTTTAAAGTTAAAACATAATCTTCTAGAAGCATTTTTCCTTCCACAAATGTCTTGGACACCTACCATGCAATTCAATTTAATTTTAGAAAAAACACATTCCTCAGTGAATAGGCAGTAACACATGAAGAAGATATATAATGATGCAGCAAACGGTGACACATTGAAAAGTTCAATTAGATTGACAATGCCTGTTGATCTCACAGAAATTGTAAGCAATGAAAAGTGTATTACAAGCTTTCCATTTGGTAAAATTTTGGTCAATTACATTCTAGATTGTGCAAGAAGCAAGTGGCCATGATACATGAAGACATTTATCCAAACTCAGAAGATTCGTGTGTCTACCTACTATTTTATGATTGAGACAAGAATAATGTCATGAAATGATGGAATTAAAAGGGCATAAACTTAGGAAGAGTTTATGTAAATACCTCAAGAAATTTGCTGTGGCATTCCTCTGGTACATTGGGTAGTAAACGAGATAAAAGCTCTTGTTGCCTTGGTCCTGTGAAAATTTTTTGCCCATGAATGCATTTTCTGCTTTTCATTTTCCTCAATTCAGACCACCTTTGATATCTCTCAGACTTATAAAATTTCCCATAGTAGAATGCCATTATATCCCCCATTGTCTTATTGCCAATAAATCTTTTCACTTTAACAAGATTCTTCCCAAATATATACAAGCCAAGGGTGAAACTGGCCTCTTCTATTTCATTCCAGGTGTCAGTTGAAGACCCAGGAACCAGACAATGGCCTTTGCATTTATTCTCATGCACCCCAATCTTTGTTTCTTGTTGCACACTGGAATTTCCAGATGCCCCCAATTTTGTTCCATTGACCAATGTAATGTCAATGTCCTCGGGTTCTGGATTCAATTTATCATGGCTAGGACTATTCAGGATGCATCTTTTTTTGAAAATTCACTTTTTTTGGTAAATCCAATTGACTCGCATGCATGTTTCAGTGGACCATGCTTATTGTCCTCTACTTCATCCTTGATCCAAATTATTCAAATTGGTAATCCTAATTGAGACTCATTGAAGGTACATGTTCTTTCTGCATCACGTGGCTTCTTTTGAAACCAAGAACAGTCAGATTCTGACATTAAAGGTGGAATTTCAGCCTGGTACTGCTCACCCACCTTAGGAAATATGTTTGGATCACCAAAATCATCATAAACGTCATAACAATACGGAGAAAATGCTTGCTCCTCAAAGCCATTAACTAGAACTGAATCCACCTGTCAATAAATAAACATTGGAAAAATATACTTTGTGTAATGAACTGACACCAAAATCTAAAGACACCTTGTGGTCTTTTCATTAAAATAAATAAAAAAATTCCAAAAGCATTTAGGATAATGGAACAAATCTTTTGGTGCTGTTGATGTACTCAAGGATTTGAATGTGAAAAACTGGTCATGTTATTTGATTACAATTATTCATTTAAAAATCATATATTTTTCTCTCTCTTATCTCATTATCAATAAGTAGTTGTGATCAAATAATATGACTAATTTTTCACATGAGAATATCTAAATCTGTGCATCGATAGTTCATTTATAATAGGATAAGTAGGCGGATTCTGAGATTCTAGAAGGATAAATATTTATATATATTTATAGTGTCATTAAAAAATTAAAAACTACTATCAGATATTAAAAAAAAAAAAATCCCAAAATAATCATCATCATTTAGAAATAGAAATCTAAAAACAGTGTCTCCAAGTTTATGCCAACAAACTCGACTCAAAAGTCACAGGGACAAACTTTGCCATTAAACAAAATTGGAGTTGAGATATTTCTGAGAAGTAAGGAACAAATGGAGGACCAAAACGCAAACTAAGAACGAAACAATCGAGCAGATCCACTTCCTGACCCCAAAAATGAAACAGGAGCAACCCGGAATCCAAAGTCGAAGACTTTGAAATAAATGCATGACGACCTATTAAACACATTACTCCCAGAACCAAAACAATCGTTACAAAACCAGCAACATTCATATCTGAAACCAAACTCAAACATCAACAACGAAGAAAGAAAAGTAAATAAATAAAAAATAAAAAATAAAATATTAAAAGATAAAAACAAAAGCACGAAGAAACAGACAAGCAAGAGAAAAAAATCCAACATGATCCGAGAAAATTCGAGTCATTCACTCGAAAAAACTGCTAGAACACATTCACATGTACATTGAAATCATACAAAAGAAAACAAAGCACGATGGCGTGGCCACACAGAAAAAAAAAGTAGAAACAAAAGGAACAAAAGAACAAGGAGATTCCCAGTGTTACCTCCATTGAAGACGAAGAAAAAGGAGAAGAAAGCTCTGTGACCACGTGAAAAAACTAGCCTGTAGAAAAGGGTGTTCATGTTTACACACCGATTAGCAAGTTTGCAGATTGAAAACAAAGAAAACGTGAACAAGCAAAGCCTATGAGGAACAAAAGCACACACACACATACAAAATAGTTTACTGCAAACACCATAAAGAGAAAGAGAGAGACAGAGAGAGAGTGGTACCTGCTTTGAGAAAGCTTAAGCTTTCGTGGGGACGAAGGTTGAATTGGAGAAACTGTGGTAAGAGAGGGTCGAGAGAGAGAGAAAGAAAGAAAGAAAAATACGAGAGAGATAATATGATGGAGGGGTGTGAAAATAAAAAACATATATGAATGACATATTTATAATAAGATTACAAATATAGGGTTTAATATTTCTGGTTTTATTGAAAAAAATATTTATCTATCATATCTATATAAAAATAAATGAATCCCATAAAAAAGATTTCTTCCTTTTATTTACAATAGAATCTATTTATTTTTGTGCAAGTGTGATAGAGAAATATTTTCTTTCACAAATCTTTCCTAAATATGGGTTTACAAACTTTTATTTTATACAATTACAAATTATACTATGTCTGACAGTGACCGGTAATACTCTACTTAAGAGTCGGCTATGAAGCATCGACACTTTAAAAACCCTGACGTGTCGTGTCCGACACCTCTTGACACTCTGACACTTCTCGACACTCCAACACGCGTTATAAAAATTCTAAAAAAGGTTCAAATGTTGCACTGTGTTGAGTTTTTAGTTCCAACTATTAGATTTGTTGGATTACGATTAACATTTTATTGAGTTTAATATAAATATTTGGGATATCTTATGTTTCTTTGCAAAATTGATGAATGTTATAAGTTTAGTTTCATTTTTTTGTTAAATTATTGAACATTAAATATAATATACACTACATAAATTAAAAATATTATTTAATATCAAAACGTGTCCAAACGTGTCAAAATATAATATTTTTTAAAATTAACGTGTCGGAATGTCGTGTCGTATTGTGTCACGTGTCGATATCGGTGTTACATAAATTACCGATTCGACATAATATAATTTGTAAAAGTTTGTAAAAAAAAATTGTTAATATAAACATCGGCAAAAAAATTAATTTAATGTTTTTTAATAAAATAATTACGCATTTATTACAGTTTTGGAAATAATTACGGATCTATTGCACAATGTGACGCCCCATTGAGGCGTCTCACCCTAAGGGGAGACGCCCCAATGGGGCGTCACTCATCAGGTGTTGACACGTGTCATTTTTTTTTTCAAATTTTTTTTTTAATTTAATCATAAAACTTTTGAAGGCCATAACTTTTGACTCGGGTATCCAAATTAGGTAATTCTTTTTTTTATTCAACATAACTTTACGATATCTACGCAATGACATCTCATTTGATATATTTTATTTCTCACAAACATAATTTTAATTTGCAAGAATGGTATTACAAGAGCAGTTAAACCCAGAAGCCTCTGAGTTCTGGGTTTGTGATTTAATATAAAAAAGTAAATAAAATTTTGATTTATGATTTAAATTTTTTTATAATTGTTTTTATTATAACAAAAATATTGTTTGTGATTTAAATTAAAAATAAAAATAAAAATTATTTTTAATAAGGAAAACAAAATAAAGATTTGATTTGTGATTTAAACAAAAAAATCAATTTGAAAAATATGTAGAAATAAAGGAAATAATTAAATAAATATTCTAAATCTCTAAGGAAGAAGGATATTATTTTTGAAATTAATGATTAATGCTATAAGCTTCTGGGCTATTATTCGTGGTCTGAAATTAATGATGGCTTATGAATGTTTTTCAAAAATAAAATTACCTAAATTAGGCGTGATTGCCTCTTGATTGACACCCAATTTATACGTGATTGGTGACGTGTCAAGTGTTGACACGTGTCACATTTTTAAACTCAGAAGCCTATGAGTTCTGCGTTTGTGATTTAATATAAAAAATAAATTAAGATTTGATGTGTGATTTAAAATAATTTTTTTTTTATTTTATTATAAAAAAAATTTGGTTTGTGATTTAAATTAAAAGTAACAATTATTATTAATAAGGAAAACAAAATAAAGATTTGATTTGTGATTTAAACTCAAAAATCAATTTGAAAAATCTGTATTAATAAAGGAAATAATTAAATAAATATTCTAAATCTCTATGGAAGAAGGATTACCTGATTTAAATTTACATTATGTTTGTGAGAAATAAAATATATCAAATGAGATGTCATTGCGTAGATCGCGAAAAGTTATGTGGAATCAAAAAAAGAATTACCTGATTTGGATACCGGAGTCAAAAGTTATGGCCTTCAAAAGTTTTATGATTAAATTAATTTTTTTTTTTTGAAAAAAAATTACACGTGTCAACACCTGATGAGTGACGTCTCCCCTTAGGATTAGACGCCTCAATGGGCGTCACATGTGACATTGTGCAATAGATCTGTAATTATTCTCAAAACTGTAATAAATACGTAATTATTTTATTAAAAAGCATTAAATTAATTTTTTTTCCTATAAACATCCCTTAAGTATAATATAATAATATAAGATATTGGAGAGAGGGTATAGTATGGCCCAAGCGCAATTACTGCGCGTGTGAATGTTTTTGACACGTGGACTTTCTTTTTAATGATTCACATTCTACTATACGCAGAGACAGAATTTTTTATAATTATCAGTCAAATCACCTGCCTCAACTCATTAACCTGGGATTTAAAAATAAAACACCTAAAAATTTAAACTAAATGAATCAATTTATACAGTTTAAAACTCTCTGATTCGATTATTAAATAAAATTATTTGAAATTACTGACAAAAATTATTCCATTAAGTCTTAGCTTATTTGCTTTAAATAAAATATGAATTTATAATCTTGAAATGGATAATACTTAATGCTAAATTATTAGGTGCCTTCTTAAAGATATTAAAAGGAATAAAATCCTATAAAAGGTTAAACTTTTACAAGTTTATATTATAGAAAAAAATTATAGTTTTTTAATGTACATATAAAGAGCATGCGCGAGCGCGTGTATAACGGATGATATAAAAGCTTGTATATAAAGGATAGTGAATCCACAATATAAAAAGAAAAAATATTAATTTGTTAATTTTAATTGAATGGAAAACGTAACATTTATGATATAGAATTAATGTAAATTTTATAATAGTCACAAAAGAAAACAAGTTAAGTCCAACACATTCATGGGCAAAAAATTTTCACACGACCAAGGCAACAAGAGCTTTTATCTCGTTTACTACCCAATGTACCAGAGGAATGCCGCAGTAAATTACTTGAGGTATTTACATAAACTCTTCCTAAGTTTATGCCCTTTTAATTCAATCATTTCATGACATTATTCTTGTCTCAATCATAAAATAGTAGGTAGACACACGAATCTCCTAAGTTTGGATCAATGTTTTCATGCATCATGGCCACTTGCTTCTTGCACAATCTAGAATGTAATTGACCAATATTTTGCCAATACATGTTTGATATATTGAATCAATAGTGAAATAACATTCACATATGAATTTGTTGATGCTGATGAATAAATGTTGTGCCAAGTGGTTACCAAATGGAAAGCTTGTAATACACTTTTCATTGCCTACAATTTATGTGAGATCAACAGGCATTGTCAGTCTAATTGAACTTTTCAATGTGTCATCGTTTTATCTTAAACTTGAAAAATTGTTGCATCATTATATTTCTTCTTCATCAGTTACTGCCTATTCACTGAGGAATGTGTTTTTGCTAAAATTAAATTGAATTGCATGGTAGGTGTCCAAGACATTTGTGGAAGGAAAAATGCTTCTAAAAGATTATGTTTTAACTTTAAAGGCTTCAGTTGGGCTCAATACTCTTGTTGAGGCAGTTGGAGTTGGTACAGAAAAAGATCTTACAGGTCTCACTGCAGATTATGTGAAGTCCACTCAGGCACTTCCTGTTTGTCCGGAAAAACCAATTGGCAAAGATTTCTCAAGGCTTACACCTGCAGAAATAATAAACAATCTAACAGGCAATTTCAGATTAAGTAAAGCTCGATCAGGTGATCTCTTCTGGGAAGCTGTTTGGCCTCGTTTACTTGCTAGAGGTTGGCACTCTGAGAAGCTGGGAAGTGATGATAATTATGTTGTTGCTTATAAGCATCCTCTTATTTTCTTAGTCCCTCGAGTTAACAAGTTTTCAAGGGAACTAGAGAAGGGGGATGACTATTTTGATTCCATTTGTGATGTCCTGGGTAAAGTTGCTTCAGATCCTGAGCTAATTGAGCTTGAGACAAATGCAGATGATGATTGCACAACCAAGGAAGGAAATGGATGTACTAAGGAAACAAAATTGCACCAGGAAAACTCCCCTGATTTGCAACACCATTGCTATCCCATGCCGCCAACTCCAATTTGCAGTACAGAAGTAAAGAACACAACTCTGAGTAGAACTGAGATAACTGAGAAGGATTCTACTTCTGAAGATGATTGTAACAATGAGGATGCTTCAGAGGAGCAAACAAAAGGACCTGACTTTTTGGATTCCGTGTGCTTGGATAAGGGTAAGACTGATGCTTCTGATGCCAGTAAATTTATCTTCATTGCTAAGGAAGTCCCTTCTGGCATTAATGGTATAGAAAATAATCCTTCAGAAGAAGTGGTTCCAATAAGAAGCATTGGTTCTACTAATCCATCTGCGGCCTCCAAGGACCCGAAGACAGACTTGTTGAGTAACACACAGGGAATAGATGCTATGGAGTGCCAATCAATCAAGAGAGAGGTACCCGATAACAACAATATTGAAGATCCTCTTGTTACAAAAAAAATGGAGATTAAGTGCCTGTAGCAGTGAAGAGAGAAATGTCAATAGTTCTAGCATCTTTATGGTTCCAGGAGTAGAACAAGATTTGGCCAGTTTATGTGCTGACAATTCAAAACCTATTGAGAATGTAACTGCAAA